TCAAATAGAATTAAAATATAATGATAATGATCATAAAATAGAATTTATTTTACTATCACATGTTTTAAAAATTAACGAAATAATTGATTTGACAAATTTTGATGTTAAAATAGGTATCAATACAAATAAAGATTTACAACAAAATAATTTGAAACCAGTTGATTCAATAAATTTAGATAATGACTCACAAAGCTTATTAAATTCTTTTTAAAATGAAGAAAGCTTAAAAAATTTAAATAGTAGATAATAAGTTTAAAAAAAACTTATTTTGATAGGTTTTTTTTAGAGAGCAAAATTTTTCTTTATAATAAAAAATTAGATTTTGATTATTCTTTTTAGAATATTCTGAACTATTTTCAGAAAATAGTTTTTTTTGAATTTTTTTGTTATTTTTTATTATATAATTTGGCAAAATAATATTTAATTTTTTTTGTAAACAAATAAAATATATTGATATTATTGTTAATGAATTTATTGATTTTATTAGGATTTTATAAGAGTTTTATTAGAGTTTTATTAAGATTTTACATATATTAAGAAAAAATTTTTAAAGATTTTTTACAAAAATTCTAAATGTAAAATATCAAATGTTACGTCTAATTTTACATGTCATGACATAATGTCATGTTTAATTTTGCATGTAACGTTAATATCATGTCTAATTTTATGTCATATTATAATATTATATTTAATAATATATGTCACGTCAAATATTATGTCAAATGTCATATATCATGTTTAATATCATATAATAAGGCATATGCATAATAAGGTAATGTTATTATTTTTGACATTTTTGACGTTAAGATAGTTACTTTAAAAATTTTAAAGTCTGCATCCTTATGATCAATAACGCAAGATTAAAAGTATCACTAATATATATTACCTGAACCAATTATATTAATTGAGAATTAATAATTAATATTGCAAAAATTTCTTGATACTACTTCCTTTTAATATATATATAAATATAATCAAAAAAAAAAAATTCTCTAAAAAACAAAATGAAAAAATTTAATATCTTATTAATCTATATTGAAACATTTTTACAAAATTTTTAATTAGTCCTTAAAGATTTACAAAGAACTGAATCCCAAGAAGTAGCTATATATCCTTCACTATATGATGATATAATAACCTTAGAAATGAAGTTCTTTGATAGCAAAATGAACATTCTTAAAAGCAAAGTAAATTAATAATTATATTTTAATGATAACGAACATATTTTATCTTAAAAAATTGATAGAAATAATTAAGAACCTTGCAATACAAATTATATACTCCAAAAAACCATCTGAATATTATTATTATTCTATTATTTACTTATTATCTCTTTGAATTCTTAGGATCTGATTAGATTGTGAGAATATATGGGGTGAGTACTGGGAAAATGAATCAAATTGATTTTTTTTTTAAAAAAAAATTTCCTAAGTAAAATAGATGTAAATTTGGTCATCTGATTCAGATTATTTGTTTTTTAAAAAAAAATTTTTGTCGATTTGGTTCTTTTTCCTAACACTTACCCTATATTATACAACTTTAAAAATAATTGAATGCCTAACAGTGATTGAATACAATGCTCTTATAGAAAAAGCCATAAACATTTTTGCAAAAACACAAAATCTTAAAGGAAAGTGATTTTACACAAAAATTATTTGGAAGATCTTTTTAATATAGATTATTAAAACTTAGTCGACATCATTAATGTTATTTATTTCATTTATTTCATTTATATAGTTTATTTATTTTGATTATTATAATTAATTTATTATTTATATTTATTTTATTAAGTTAACATCGTTGATGAATATATATACTTCAATTTATATAAATATAACTAAGAATTCTTTAATAAAAAATAAGTACTGTTCAGTTTTAGATAAGTTAAGTTGAGTTATTAGATAGTTTAGTTTAATCTATTAGAATATTTATATAGTACAAAGCATTGATGCTAATACAATACTTATTTATTATCACATATCAAATAAATGATTAATACCTATACTTTATCCTATCTTAATTATAAATTAAACCTTATACTTATTATCTATATTATCTGTTCGCTTATAACATTTAAGCAATATTAAAGAACTAACTGTAATATTATTTTTAATATAAATTTTATATAATAAGATTAGAAAGAGATGATAATATTAATAATAGTTTATTAAAATAAAATATTAGATAATAAAAACAAAAAAAGTGAAGAAAGAAGAATAAGTATATTAGTAGACTTTAAAAATACTTAAAAATTTATAAATCTTGATAAAATATATTTTAATATTTATATATGAATTAATAATGCTTTAAAATTTTGACTTTTATCTAAATTTTACTATGATAGAAATTTTTTATCTAAATGTAAAAAAAGAACAAATGATATATTAATAAAAAAAATTGTATAATAATAAATTAGTTTTTGAAAAAAATATTGCTTCTTTTTTTATTACTTTAAATCGATTAATATTAAATATTATATAATATAAATAAGATAAATATTTTATTTTATCATCTTGTAATATAATGAATTTCTTATTATACTTGATTTTTTTACTGATTGATAATTATATCAGATTATCAGATAATTAATAGACAATTTATCATATGTTTAATTTTTTTAATTTTGACTAATGTATAATTTACTTTTTTCTGAAATTTATAATTTTTTAATAAGGTTTTAAGATATTTTATTAGGTTTTATTTTTATTATTTAGATGACTAGTTTAATTTCAAATATTAATAATTATATTTTTTTAATTAAAAATTCAAAATAATAGTTAATGAATTTACTTATAATAAAGATGCCAGCCGAAACTCCCTCAAAATAATTTCATCATATCCCTTACTATGTTTTTAATATAGTTTCGGCTAATTTTGGGTTTTGGGGTTTTATCGTATCCTCACTATGTTTTAATATAGTTTCGGCTGTTTATTAATTGCCTTTTTTAAGTTTCGTCTCTCATCTTTAACTTCTAATAATAATTAAAATTTAGTTGTTTATTATTAAGTATGAAGTAAAAAAGAATAAAATCTATTATTATTAAGGTTGTTAAATAAGATCCAGAGTTTAGATAAACGTCTAAATAGTAAAGGTAAAACTTGGTTAAATTATATTAAAACCTTATTACAAAATCTGCGAAATTCAGAAAAAGGTAAAACTATATCAAAGCTTATAAAAATGACGAAACTATATTAAATGCTTAGTAAAAATTTAGCAAAACTAAAGGTTTAGATATTTAGCTAAATCTAAAATAAGTTTTGACAAGCAATCTTAATTATTATTATATCAAATTTTAAAGATATTCTAAAATATAATAATACAATAATTTTTAACATAGTTGTTCAATCAATTTAAAAAAATTGAATTTAATATTACTAAACATATCTTATATTACTGATAATATAGCATATATAGTAAGTAATAAAAGGAGTGATTAGCTCTTTTTAATGAAAAAATTAGCACAAATGCTTTTCAAATTGGTTGTAAATTTCATATTATACAAATTATATTCAATTATTTTGAACATATAACATTTGAAAAACTTTTAAATTCTACTGGTTTTTTTCAAAAATTATATATAAATCTTTATATTTAATATGAAATTTGCATAGTGGATATTATAAAGACAAACCTCTCAATCTTAATATACTAATAATTAAAGATTTATATGATAAATTAATAAGATTCTATTATACTAATTATTCCTCTATTTATGTTGGGATTATAAATTACAAACAGCTAAAAAATATTTAGATCACTATGAAGCTCACATTTATTTTTTTATTAGTTTATTATTTAGCTAAAAAATTATTAATATATGGGAGATTTGCTAAGAAAATAAGGTTCTAAGCATTTTTTATTAAAATTTTAATTTTTATTGCATTTTAATCTAACATTATCAAAAATTAAAATGCAATAAAAATTAAAATTTTAATAAAAAATGCCTAGAATCCCATTTTTCTAGCAAACTTCCTATACTAAAAGCATATTTAAATGATTCACATCATTTTTGAATTATAGTTATCTATTCAAATAAAATATTTGGTAAATTTTGCAAAGCATTTTATGAATTATTAATATAATTTATATTAGATTAGAATCCATAATACAAAATAAAAAATTAGTTAAATTATCTTTTGGAAAATGAGTAATGAAATGCCAGATAATGTTTATGAATAGAATGATTTCTTAAAATCTTAAAAATAATGTAGAAATGTTTTTTGCAAATGAATTATCAGAAGTTATTAAAATTACCAATCAAAGAATTTAGAGAATTATTCAATAGTTGAAAAATGGTTCATATGAATATTTTAAAAAGTGATTGGATTCATAGCTTTATTTACCCCTAGTGATTTTCCATTTATGTGAAAAAATAGTACATTTATTTGCCAAATGTTTTTGCTATACAATTTTAAAAAGAGTTTGAAATAAAAACCTATAGATTTAGAATTAAAATGATATTGATAAACAAAGATTTTAATAATAAATTTTGCAAGATTAATAATCCTATATTATTAAACTCTAAAATGCACATTTATTTTATCAACTACAGGTTTAGGGGCTTTTCAACACATTAGATTTAAAAACTCATGTAAATATTTCACTATCAATTAAACAATCAAAGCTTCAAGTAAAAGCAAAATAATAAGACAATTTGGAGTAGAGGTTGCAAATTATTTTAATAATTTATTAAATATGTAAATAAACTGCGTTAATTTACAAAATATATTTTAAAAAATATAATCTAACGTAATTTTGAAAAATTTGCTGAAACATAGGTAGTAATTTTAAAAAAAATTACGATAGTAAATTTTTATATCATACCATATGTATTTAATTAGTTGACTGAACACCCTCTGCTTTTAGTTTTTCAAGTGGATAATTAGTGAATAAATGACAGACAAGATTACTTAATAAACTCGTTTCCGGTTCGACGATCACCTCGGAGTATACTATTTATTCTAGAAAATTATTTAAACCCTTTTTTTTTTATTTAATAATGTCTACTCAAAGGATTTTTCTTCCATTACCGTTAAAATATCAAACCAATTCATTCAACAATAAGAATGATAATATATTTAGCTATACTGAAGATCTAATAAATTTTTGTAAAAAATATTCTAGTTTAGCAGAAGCTCATATTGTAGATTTTTTCACAGATAATACTTGGGAAATTATACCAAAAGAGTGGAGAGACGTATTTGAAGTAGAATGCGAGAATATAATTGGAGAAAATAATTATGGAAATAATAATGAAAGTAATTTTGTAAATAAAATGATTAGACTTGCTAGTTTTCATGAATATGAGGTAAATAATAATAAAAGTCACTTAGTCTGATGAAACATATGTCTATTTATTTATTTATTTTTGTTTTATAAAATTATAGGAATATTGGCCCGAGTCTTTGAAAAAATATATTAGAGATACTAAGGAATTGGTGTTATCGCGTGATATATCAATCGATGGTAATAATAAATCAATCCTTCTCATATATATATATATATTGTTTGTACTGTACTTATAGTTTTGATGTGAAAAATCAAGTTTTACAGATGGAATGTGAAAATTCAATCGATAAACGTATATTGCCAGGAATGAATAAAAAAAAGTTGCACGAGGTGAATTATTTTGGATATTTTCATTTTTTTTTATTACAAATTGATTCTTTTTAATATAATCAATTACCTCCCAGGTTAAAATATTAAGTAACTTGATAGCATCATTAGCAAACGAGAATAAAATCAGTTCAATTATTGACTTGGGAGCGGGTCAGGTAATTACGTTTATACAATTTGTATTATTACTCAACAGTACAATAGATTTTAATTATTATCATTTTATAGGGCTATTTAAGTAGAGTATTAGCATATACACACAATCTTTGTGTATTTGCTATCGATGCAAGTAATGTGCAAACATGTGGCGCACAAAAATATCAATTTCGCACTGAAAAAAGTCTTGGATTGTTACGTAAAGATAAAAACGAGGTCGAAAGAGAGGAAAATATAAAAAGTGGCAAATTTGAAAGAAAAAGAAATGGATGTTTAAATCATATTACACAATATGTTACATCTGAAACTTTGTCTAGTTTAATAACAGACTGGAATAAAAGTAGTAACAAGCATATTGAAGTCAATGAAGATACGGGCTATGTTAAAATTATCGAGAAAGCTAAGGACGTCAAAGAGAAAAATCTAATTGATGATGATCCCTGTTCAAATAAGCAGGTAGAACAAGATGATGATGATTATTTAATTTGCGGATTACATTCATGTGGACAATTATCAAGTTCAATGTTAGATTTATTTATAAAAAATGAAAAAATAAAAAGTGTAGCAAATGTAGGATGTTGTTATCATCTACTTGATGAAAATGAACAAGAGAATTCAAATGGTACTATAATTAAAATAAATATTTTGATGTTTTTTGGTATAAAGAAATGATTTTTTTTTAAAAATAAATATATATATTTTTAGATAAGAAATGTTCATTTCCGTTAAGTAAAGTTTTTAAAGAAAAAAAATTTTATATGGGATCAACCATTAGACAACTTGCATGTCAAGTACCATCTAGATGGTCAAGTCAGCAAGAATCAAGTATTAATGCATTTGAACATCACTTTTATCGTGCATTATTACAAGTTAAGCTTTTCCTTTTTTCCCCCCCTTGATACATTTATCAAAATATAAAAATTTAACATTCATTTTTTTTTCTCTCCTAGTATATTTTAACTAAAAAAGAATTGATCAAAGATACGCCAAGAATAGGAAAATTACGCCGTCGAGATTTTGCATCATTTTCAGCGTATTGTACAGCTGCTCTAAAAAAGCTCTCTCTTCCATTAAATTGCATAACACAAGTAGAATCAGAACAATATTATAATGAATACAAAATAAATGGATTTATGCATAAAATTATTATATTTTGTACATTAAGAGCTTTGTTAGGACCTTGTTTCGAAAGTATAATATTGTTAGATAAATGTTTATATTTATTTGAAAATAATATAGTAAGGGAAATTAAATGTTTTGGTGTATTTGACGAAATAAAAAGCCCTAGAAACATGGTTATTGTTGGATTAAAATAATTTTATATCATCAAATATTATAATAAAAAAAATTTTTTTTTTAAAGCATTGAATGATATACGCGTTCAACAGTTTCTAAAGCAAGTTTCACTGTGGTTTCAACAATTTCCTTTAAATGTAATAAAGAAAAGTTGAATTAACTTTAAATATAAAGAAACGCGTTTGAACAAATTACTTTATATGACTTACTTTAACGGATAATTCATTGTGGATTAATCCGATGCCTGTACCGGCATAAATAACCTAATAAAAAAAACAATTGATTAAATCAATTTCATTTATTTAAATCCAAAAATTAAATTAATACATACCGCTCTAGAATAATCATGTTCTAAAGTAGCTTCTTTAAAAATCCTTTTTCTTTCACTGATGCCATTCTCATCATCAGCTAATTTTTCTCCTTCTTCAACAGTCTTATTTTTAATTGCTCTACCGTCCCATTGAGAAGACCAAATGTTCTTTTCTTGTAATTTATCAAATATTTGGGTTCTAACAGTATTTTTACCTCCATCATTAGTGTCGATAATACACTGTTTAGCATTTTGATGGTAAGAAGATTCTTTACTAACTACAAATCTTGTGCCCATTACAACCCCATCTCCACCAAGCATTAATGTTGATGCTAATCCTCTACCATCAGAAATTCCTCCTGCAGCTAACACAATTGGTCTTTTCAATTTCTCATCATTGATATCCCTGGAAGAATATATTTGATTTAATTTATCAACAGTTTCAGGTAATAAAGTTGAATTAGATGAATTATTCATTAATCCATGACCTCCACTTTCATTTCCTTGCACGACAATCACGTCTGCTTCGTTATTATATGCAAATATTGCTTGTTCTATAGTCTGTACTTGAGCAAAAATTTTCGTATTTGGAGATAATGAACGTATTTCCATAACATATTTTGAAAAATCACCAAATGAAAACCAAATTGCTAATGGTTTATAAGAGAGAGATAAATGAAGAAAAGGTAATGATGATTGAGAATCTAACGTGAATGTCATAAATCCTATTCCAATTGGCAAGTTGCCATTAGTTGGATCAATATGAGATTTTAATAATTCGTGAGCCGTTTTTAATTCTTTTTCGAAATCTTCATAAGACAAATATGCTAATGATTGGAATGAATTTAGGATTGATTAAAATTTATCCAAATGAAACATTAGTGAAAAGATTAGTTAAATACCAACCCGCCTGTAAAAAGCCCAAACCTCCTGCTAAACGAACTTCACTTGTTAGTTTGGCATTAACTACCTTTGCCATAGGAGCTTGAACAATTGGATGTTTTATACCATATTCTTTAAATAATTTAGTAAACCCTGTATTAAATGACATTTTACAAAATTACAAAAATTTTTTATAATCATGATAAAACAGAACGTGTATATTTATAAAAAAAAAGATGAAAATGAATTATTGATTATTAAGTTATCAATTGATGTTTTTTTTAAAGTGTTGCAGATCCTTATTATAAATACATAGCGTTATTAATCATTATTACAAATAAATCAAATTTTAAGTTAGATTTTTCTTGGACTAAAACAATTCGTCATCATCATCAGATAACGGTTTGAGTATAAATCTTCGCACTCCATCTATTTTTGGTGGTGGTATTGAGATATAATCTTTATTCAACGCAAGTGGCGTGGTCGATTCACCAACTTCATAATGAACTGGAAAAGAATTTGTAAAAGCATCTATTACGTCCTCTTCCTCGCTTGAATCATTATGGAATTCATTGTTGGTACTTGCTTCAGAGTCAACAAATTCCCCCATTTTTTGTGATACAAGGGTGGAATTATCAGGAGTTGAAGTTAATATAGGAAGCATTTCATGCCAGTCTTCAACTTCGCTACTATCGTTATCTTGTTCAGAGTCGATATCTTTTTGATAAACAATTTCATTTTCGTGCTAAAATTAATCTTAATTAACATTTTTTTATATAATTGTCGATAAGGATTTTTTTATTTACCTCATCATTACAATTTTTATTGAAGCTCACATGATTTTCCATCTTTTCATCATCATCAATAAATTCTTTATTCTTTTTCAATATATTCCATTGAATGTGATTTTTATTAGATGAAGCAGCTTCAACAATAGCTTTTCTACTCAGTAATCCTCTATTAATAGATTTTGATTTCAATGCTCTTTCAGCAATTTCTTTTTGTTTTCTTTCACCACCACGTTTTTTACCGTTTCTTCTATTATTTTTCGATTCTTTAGTGAATCTATTTTGATTCCTCTTTCCTATATCAGAATTCCTTTCAAACTTCTTGAATTCATTTTTTTTGGATACTTTATTATTCTGCTGTTGCAATTCTGAAAACTCATCAAAAACGTCATTTAATTTTCTATATGAAGTTGCTAATGCCAATTCATTTTCACTAATTAAGTGACCTAAAATAAATGGTAATGGCACACCTTGATTTTTCTTTTCAGTATTCTCTTGTGATTTTACATTGGATGAGGCAACTAAGTTGTCATTGTTGAGCTCTTTTGACTTTAGTACTGCGCCGTCGAACAACGAATCACATGACCAAAGCGACCGCTTACCTTTCTCAATATCGAGAATTGGTTCATTTTGTTGATTTGCCTTTAACATCTCATTATTACCTTGTATATCTTTTCTTGTTTTATAAGTAAATTTAGGTTTAGAATCATTTGTAATGGAAGTAAAATTGGTTATATTAAAAGAAGACATTCGACTTTCTTAAATTGATAACGTTGAAATAAATGATTTATACAGGGGTAGTTTAACCTTCAAAAAAAAAAATTTAACCTTTTTTATAATACGTTTTAGCCAACCATATTGGTTAATTTCACATGATTAAGAAGTTTGATAATACTGTTTCAAGATTTAAATTATTTGATCTGCTCAGACGACTTTTTTTGATCAGGGAAAAAAATGGCTACTTTTAAATTCTGTAAACTATGGTAATTATTGTAATCGAACACAAAATCCTTTATCGATTTCTTAAAATTAATACTCTTTATTATCGTTAACAGCAGTAATTTGTTATATCCAAGAGAAGATAAAGAAGCTCACAAATTATTTTATGCCTGTCGTAATTGCATTCATCAAGAAGAAACCGAAAACAAATGCGTATATAGAAACGAGATTATGCATTCATCAAAGTATTTTTTTTTCTTAAAAAAAAAAGAAAAAGAAAAAAAAAATTATTTTTAAATCATTAATTTTTTAATTTATTAAAGTGAAACCACTACAATCATTCGGGATATAGCTTGCGATCCTACGTTGGTAAGCAATATTATTAACATTAATATTACATTATTATTTGATATGGCTGGTTATTAACAAATATTTTAAAGGCACGTACGGAAAAAGAATGTCCAGAATGTGGCTACACAGAAGCAGTATATTTTGAGCAACAGTCACGTCGTTCGGGACGTTCAGATACCAAAATGATGTTATATTATGCTTGTGCAAATACTGAATGTGGTTATCGTTGGACTGATCTTAATGTTGAGAATAAGCCGAAACCACCAGATGAGGAAAATATATCTGAAGGAGGATATATTGAAGAAGAGAACTACATGAACGAAATGTTGTATACTCAAGGACTAGAAAGTACTTATCAAGGTAAATACATAAATATATATTATATATACATATTTACTTACATTACAATTCAAAATTTTAATTTTAATTTTTTTTTTTCCGGTTTAAATAAAAATCTGATTAGATCCTATGTATTTAAATAATAATAATACAACAATTCTTGAATCTGAAATAAACGATTCTACATCTAATTTACAAAATCAAGAATATCACAATCCAGAAGATTGGTGATTTCATTTTCCTTATTCCAAAGCCCCAGCACTTTTCAATTTAGAAATCAAATCATCGACAGAATCTACTTTAGTTCCACCTTTTCTAACTGGTGGATCTGTTACAGAAATATTTTCTAATCTTGGAGCAACGTCAACCTTTAATTGATCGGGTGTAAATTTTTCTAAAGGTTTTTTCTTTGCTTTCATGATATTAGGAAGAGTAACAAATCTAGGTTCATTTAATCTTTTAAGAAAAAAGATAGAAATAAATTTAATTCTCATTCAAATCACTTCTTTTTTTTTTAAAAGAAAAATAAAAAGTTACCTCAAATCAGAAGTCACTATAGCCGGTAATTTGCTGCTAATAGTTTCCAAACCACCATCAATTTCACGTGTTGTTGTAATCTTGTCACCACTTATCTCGATTTTTGATGCAAAAGTTGCCTAAAAAAAGATTCAAGAAAAGATAAATTTCATAAAGGAACACATGCTTAAAAGAGTGACGTACTTACCTGAGGCCAATTCAAAAGTCCAGCTAACATTTGACCGGTCTGACTAGCATCATCATCAATAGCTTGTTTGCCAAGAATAATTAAATTCGCTTGTTCTTTTTCGATTATAGCTTTAAATAACTTTGCAACAGCTAATGGTTGTAAAGTTCTGGTCGCCTCACTATCGTCTTTACCCACTTCAACATGTATAGCTCTATCTACCCCCATGGCTAAGGCTGTTCTAAGTTGTTCTTGTGATTTTGGAGGTCCACAAGATAAAGCAACAATTTCTTTTACTACATTGTTACCTAATTTCTCTCTTAACCTTATTGCTTCTTCTACTGCAATCTCATCAAATGGATTCAGAGAATGTTTTACACCGGCTGTTTCTACAGCTAATTTCGTTGAATTAACTCGGACCTTTACTGCGTAATCTATTACTCTTTTACATCCTATTAATAAATACAGGGAAGCGAAAATATATTAATAATAAAATTGATTTAATAGAAAATTGATTTATTAATGGACTTACCGACAAGAATTTTTAAATTAGCCATAGTTTAAATTTTTTTTGGTTGAAAAAGAACAGGATTGCATTATTAAATATTTTTTTTTTTGGATCAATAAATTATCGATCAGATTTTCTGTATCAAAAAATAAATTATAAATTTGATTGGCGGAATTGGTTAAATTATATAAAGTTTTTTTTATAATCATGCCAAGTAATATAGTAAGTAATAAATGCTTTAATTTTTCAAGTTTGCTTATTATATTAAAATTTGTTTTACTTAATATTATGTTATAATTAATTAGATGTATATATAAATTGTAAATTGCAAATTAGCTTATAAAAATAATAATATTTTAATTTAATATTTAATAAAGCAAATCTATAAGAAAATTTACTCAATTTTTAACAATCTAAAAATCTAAAGAATTAAATTTTTTAATATGTTAAATATGTTTTTTTTTAGAAGTTCAGATTTAAGATTAACAAAAAAAAATTTTTTTATTAATTTTATTTTAATAGATTATTTAAATATTATTAATATAAAAAATTAAAAATTATATATAAGTTAATAGTATAAAATTTATATAAATTATATTATTAATAAATTATTTAAACTATTTAAAAATATAATATAAGTTTTATAAATATATAAATATTAGTAAAAAATTTTATATTTAAAAAAAATAAGATTTTATAAATATTTTATTACAATATGGGTTGTGAGCTAGGAAAATGAGGTTCTGGGACATTTTAACCAAAGTTAAAATTTTTACTTTATATTAATGT